CCAGTCACGAGCGGCTAACTGCGAGCAGCGAACGGCCAAGCCGAAGCCGAACTGCACCGAATTTCAAATCAAACTCAAAATTAAAATTTAAAGAAAAAAAGTACAATTAAAAAAGAAAATGTACAAAAATTAACTTTCGACTTTGCAAATGCATATACATAATATGCAACTGGGATAAGTTGGAGGACTGGGTGAAGGGTCGGAGGGCTTACTGGATGCTGCTGTCGCCTTTGGCTGCTGATCTAATGGCAGTTGCAGTTGCAGCGACCGGACCAGAACGTTGACTAGAACAGGCCAGTAACTGGAGCAAGCTCGAGTGCTCTTAGTTCGGCCATGCAACTCCGGTCACTCTGTGGCAACTCCGGGTCGGCACTCCGGTCACACAGACACAGACGGGGACACACACAAACAACAAACAAACAGACACACACACGCACACTCGCAGACAGACAGACAGACAGACAAAGCTCGCTCGCTGAGTCGCAGACCGTGTCAGTCAACGTGTGCGAGCACGCGGAAAAACAAATGTAAACTGTTTTTGCTGCATGGCCAGCGAGCGTTTGGAAGCGCCAGCAGCAAACATTAGCAGCCGCAGCAGCAGCAGCAGTCGGTAGCAGCAGCGATGGCTCCAACGAAACGAAGGCACGAATGTGAAAACGAACGATTTGCCGAACAACAGCGACGCTCACACGAACAGCTAGCCGAAGGCAGCCGAACCGATACTCAGGCGCAGACACATAGCCAGTCACACAGGCACACACACACACACACACACACATACATACACTTTGTACAAACGTCGTGAAGCAGCAACGGCAGTGTGTAGGCAGCGAAATATATTTGAAACGTCGCTTAGCGGTGAAGCGCCGCACACGAATGCGACCGAGATGCGACTGCGACTGCGACGAGACCGACAGCGACCAAACGCTGTGCGCCGCCAACAACAATAACAGCGAATGCTGCCAAAGTCGACGCTGCTGCTGCTGCTGCTGCTGCGCGGCTGCTGCTACTGCGACGACGGCTGTTGCGCTGCTCTTTGTCGTCGGTGTTTGTGCTTTTGTCTTTTGGCCATTGCCAATTTGCCAGGCCAAACAACATTTGCATTTGGGTAGCCGCTGCTCCTGCTCTCAGTTTGGTTAACAGAACCAGAGAACTGAAATGCCGAAAGCTTTTGTGCACTTCGTGCAACTTCCGGCAACTGGCGGAAGCAGCAAGCAAGCAAGCAACAACTACAACAACAACAGCAATAACAACAGAAACACATCTTTTTCCCTTTTCAACCCGAAGGCAATGAGCAAGCAACGGAGCCACAGCCAAAGTAGGATTCATTTGCCGGAGTCAAAGCCGGAGCCAGAGCCGGAGCCGGCTAAAGAGAACTGACGCGATTTGCAATTGCACTTGCAACTTGTTCAGTTCCTAGTCTTGTTCCTGTTGTTGTTTTTTGTTGTCTGTTGTTTGTTTTTGCAGTTGCCATGCATAAATATGCCTTTATAAATTAGGACAATTTTATTGTTGAATGACAGCGCGTACCACCTGGCGTATTATCAATATTTTGACAAAACTTTCTTTGCCAAAGTATTATTTTCCTAATTTTGATTATTTATTTATTACATTTATGTAAGCTAATATGATACTAAAAATATAAAACAGCATCATTATTTTAAGACGGTTTTTTTTCCTTTGTTAATTTGATATATAAATAATATGATAAATTACTAAAAATAGTCCTCGAACTTCCCAAAATGTGCATCCAATTTTAACTCACAAGAGTGTTCACAGGGGTTAAGATATCGTAAAAAAGTAAATTTTTCAAATGATTGATGCAGTAGGACGATCCATTCTGTAACAAAATGAAGTTCACTTCGAAATCGACAGACAGAACGACGGACAAAGTAGCAAAGGTACATGGTTATAGCGACTCGACAGTTGATACTGATCAAAACTATATATGCATGTAGTTTATGGAGTTTAGAAAAGTTAATTCATCATATCATATCGAGGATATACAAATTGTACTATAAACAGCAAACTTGAAGCTGATATAAGAAAATACGATGGAGATAATCAGAATATCAGAATATCAGAATAATCAGATAGTCATTTATACGCATACAACTATACGCATACAACTACAACGCACGCAACGATCGTTTACGAAAGTTTTCAATTTATGCCCTGGCGTATGCAACAAAAATGCAATTGTGTACAGCGCCTGTAAGTTAACAGCGACGCGCCATTAAACTGTTAACGTTCAACTGTTAGCTGTTCAAGCTGTTAAACTGGGTAACAGTTACGAGCGAATAAGAATTGCAACCATCATAAAAACGCAGCACACACCAACGCCGACTGCGACCGCGACCGCGACGATAGCTGCGACGCCAACTGCAACGCTGACAGCCGAAAAACCACGTTTTTGTGCAGAAGGCATTCACACCGAAAAAGTTCTTGTCGCCTGCCGTCCGTCTCTGCATGCTGCACGTGTGCACGTTTTTCGTGTTCGGCACTTGTCGGCTCGGCAATTGGGATTCGGCAGCGACAACGTCAGCGTTAGCGTTAGAGTCAGCGGCATCCGCATCGCTCTCTCTATTCCACACACACAGCAACCCACACAAGCACGCTGGCCTGCTCGCTTGCACGTTTTGGCATTTGTGTAGCCGGTTTTGTCGGTTTTTTAGGTTTTTCGGCTGTTTTGCCGCAACCAAATGAGAAACGCGAATTGCGAATTGCGAAATGAAACGCATCGGAACATCAATGGGGATCTACGTCATTCGTTTGCTCAGTTTAAGGCTGCAAACTGCAAAAATTGATGACACACTCCCATACATACACACACACACACACACACACACACAGAGTCGCCTACAAGCGACGTCACAGTTTTGTAGGCTAGTGACGTCGAAGTCGCGTCGCAGCCTGGTCCTAATCCGTTAGGTTAAAGGCAAAAGTTGAGACTGCAGCTGACTATTTTGGTGATGCAATCGGAGGGAGTTGCGCGAAATTATAAAATGCCACTCATAATACACAACACACACACAAACACACACCCACATATAAAAAAAACCCACACATATAGTTCGCGCACTCTTCTTCTTCTTCATTTTTAACCTTCTGCTGATTTCGCCAATTGTTGTTGTTTATGCTTTTCCTGTTGTTATTATTATTATGATTATTTTAATGACGCGCTCTTTTGGGGCCCGGGCCAGTTAAAGTTTTGGGCGACGTCGTCGTCATCAGCTGCGGCGCGTGTTAATGCACCACTTCCTGTTACGCTACTGTACCGGAGCGAAATACCTTTGCCGTTATTAGTGCAACGGCAGCTTACGAATTTGGCCGCTCTCACTCTTGTATTCGCTCTTTGTCTGTCTTTCTGTGCGCGACTGTCTGTCTCTCTGCTGCCAACGCGCTCGCTCTCTTTCTCTTTCTCTTTCTCACTCTCTTACTCTCTCTCTCTCTCTCTCTCTCTCTCTCTCTCTCTGTCTCTCTCTGACTCTGTTTCAACTCCTCTCGTTTCTTTTTTGCGATTGTTTTTGGGAAGCCAACTGCAACTCCGGGCATGCGATTTGAAAATTGTGTCGTCAGCTTGACACAATTTTCCAGAATGCGCCTGGAACGTAGAAAGCAAGTTATCTGGAACGGTAACGGGAACAGATTTTCGGGAACGCTGCATTGCAGGGGAGGAGGGTGCTGCTTTGCAGATGCGCTTCTGCTGCCGCCACCGCCGCTGCTGCCGAACGCATTTTGGATTGTTCACGTAGGTCTGGATTTTGCAGAGCACGTGTCCACATGCTCCGCATACACTTCGCACTTTTGATGCCTCCATTCACGGTTTCGCCATTAAATAATCTGACAGTGGCTCAATTAGCTGCTTTCGGTTAACTGACTTTTCGGTTTCTGGTTTCTGATTTCTGTTCCCAAGATGACAGCCAAGCAACTAATCAAATTAGCTGCCTCCTGAATGCCGGCAACAATCCATGCATTATGCATTTTGCAGCAACAGCAGCAGCTGCCAAAATGCTAAATACTCTCTCTGTGTGCGTGTTCGTGTGTGTGTGTGTGTGTGTGTGTGTGTGTGTGTGTGTGTGTGTGTGTGTGTGTGTGTGTGAGTGTGCGCATGTGTGTGTGTGCGCATGTGTGTGTGAGAGTTCAATAGCATTCTGCCCGGCATTAAAAAATAAATAAAGCCGCCTCTTGCTGCAGTTGGCAGTTGAGAGCAGGCAGCAGCAGCAGCAGCAGCAGTAACCGCAGCAGCAAAGCGGCAGAGCAACAACCAAAGAGAACGCAAACTTTACACTCTGTTAACAGTTCGTTAGCAGTGGCCAAAGCTTTTGCACTGTTAAGCAGTAGGAATAGTTGGACTTAACAGCTGGGCCACAGCCGAATATGAATGCAGCAAGATCACATTAGACCTAGGATGCAAACCGGAATTCCAATTTATTTATTTTTATAACGAACCGACCCTTAAATTAGCCAATTTGTCCAAAAAAACGTTGAAGAACATTTTAGGGATAAACCAGACCGCACTTATTGGATTTATCTAACCATATTTGATAAATTTCAGATAAAAACAATATCTTTCAGTTAATCAGTTGTAAATTAAAAACTTGATTGCGTACTGAAGAATTGAAATCAATTTCTGGATACAAGCATCTGGATAACCAGCTTTACGAACTGAACCTAAAGGCTGGAAATTGATTCGAGTCGTGAAACATGAAACTGCGATCTTTTTTTAACCGATCGTTCCTAAGGCTATATGATTGTGTGTTGATATATTGCTACAGACAAGAAGCATTAAGAAGCCAATAAATGGATAAGATATATATTAAAAACAATGAAGTATCCATATGATATAGTGATCGACATATGTATTGCCCACAATAGACGGACAGTTGTTGGTACAGATCAAGAATATAAACTATATATTTTTATTAGATTGAAGGTGTCTCCTCTTTCATGACAAAATGAGAATACCCTGTTAGAGGGCATGCAAAGGCAAGAGCGCATATCTCTGGGATACTTTTATTACTAGTAACTTATTGTTTATGCCAAATATGGTTAGTTTTTTACTAGCTAGAAACATTGCAATAAAATTTGGTTAACAAATCGTTGAGATGATGATGGAGTACATAAAAGTTTCGCTTCCCGAGTTTTTCCCATATGGATTTACGGATTTTCACATCATTGGATCAGCGTGGGACGCAGTTTGATGGGTCTATCGTGGGTTATGGGGACCGCATAATCCCGAACAGAGAGCTCCAAATAGATGGGCTCTGTGTAGTCATTGGTTAGCACACGCAAGTCCTGTCCAGTCAGTCGCATATAGTTCTTGCTGTTCAGCATGAACTGATCGCAATTGTGGCACTGGTCGAGACCACGCACCTGCATAATGCTGCTGCGGCAGATGTCGACGCGCCGATTGAAGACGGTCATGTGCACGTGCACCGGCTGCGGCAGCTCCAAGCTGACCATCCACAAGGCCATTACGTTCTCACCGCCCATGCGCACCTCCTCGGCGGCAGACAGGGTCTCGGATGTGGCGTTGGATGCGCCTGTCGATGCGGAATGGAAATCCGTGGATCCCTGCGTCTGTTGCTTTTGCTGCAGTCGGGTGCGACAGGCCATCACAAATAGGGGCATGTGGCCCGTGTATTTGGCATAGTCTTTGGGCAGGCCCGCATTGTAGACGCGCGCGTATTGCATGAGGGGCAGCTCGAAGGATTTATTCTTGTACCCAGCATAGACGATCATCGATAGGCAGACGTTCTGCGATCGCTTGAAGGAGCGCGGCTGGAACATGATCAGCACCTGATCCCGTTCGTAGATCTCATTGAGGGCCAGTCCCGGTTCACTCAGATGCACCTCCAGAAAGTGGGCCAGCAGCGATTCGTTGAGCAGACGAACAGTCGAACAGCCCGGCATGCGTAGTGGACACTCGAACTGTATGCCACCTGTGTCCCCGATGCTCGACTTCCGCCAGTTCGCCGATCCCATGGCGCTCAGCATGCGCATATAATTGCGGCTGGCCTTGTCCTGAAACAGACGCAGCTGGCGCAGGCGCAAGGCAATGTCCTGGGCGCGCTGCTCCCGGCTTAGGCAGTCGAAGTCGCGGGACAAGTAGGCGCATCGCTCAACGGCAGCGCGTGCGGCCTCCTCGCCCAGGATCGGAGCGCCCACATGGCCAACATTCAGTGCATCGATTGGCAAATATTTGATCCTCTCGCGCGGACTATATAGGCCGCCGGGTGGGCGAGTCTTGTCGAAGGCACTCGGATTGCACCACACCTCGTTTAGGGTGTCCGCCGAGCCGTCCTTTATGCCACTCCACTCGGACGACAGCTGAGCAGCTGCCTGTGGAATCTCTGGCATGCCGTCCAGCTCATGATCCAGCTGCTGCAGCGACGATGTCTCCGTGTGGACAATGGGCTTGGTTTTCATCAGACCGGACATATTCTGTTCGTTGAGCAGCAAACGAGGTGTGCACGGTGCCAGGAGCACCTTCACCTTATCCGTGGTATCCAGGCTGAGCGCCTGGTACTTACCGAACCGCTTTGCCGCGTGCTGCTGGGCGGCCACCCTGCCGGGCAAATTCACAATTTTGGGCGTGCGGCGCAGCCGATGGGTCAACTCGACATTATTATTGGACTCCAGACTTTGTGTCCGTTTGCCGCTGTAGTTGGATATTGATGGATAGCGATAGCGGAAGCCAAGTGAATGCGGCTTCTTAAGTTGGCTCTGGCTCGATTTGGCTGGATCGGCCGCAAAGGCATCCCGTTGCTTCTCCGGCTTTCGATTCTCCCCTTTCCTTTGATGTGCCGAGCTGCTGCGCTCTTTCGGCGCTGTCGTTAATACGTGGGTCGGCGGCGGTGGGGGTGGGGGTGGTGGTGGTGTTGGTTGTGTTGTTGTTGTCATTGTTATTGTTGTGTTCGTTGCTGTTGGAGGTGGTGGTGGTGGCGGCGGTGGTGGAGGAGGTGGCGGTGGCGGCGGCGGCGGTGGGGGCGCTGCCCCATTGATCAAGCGCTTGCTCTTCAGGTTTTCCACTTTGTGCATAGCCTGGCAGCTGCAACAGCCGCAATCCACCGACCGCTCCATTAGATTGGGATCAACAATTTGGTTCGGCTCCAGCTCGAATTGCGGCTCGATTGGCTCTTGCTCTTCCAACAGCGGCTGATTGTAATGCATCGACTGCACCGGCAACTCTTCAAAGTACTGACCGGATCGTGCGTATGGTTGACCAGTGGAGGTGCTCAACGGATTTGGTAGGTTGACCGGCTCATAGAAATCATCGCACTCCTGCTGCCATGGCTCCATCTTGTGGAACGGCTTGTTGCAGTCATCGTCCCCATCGCCGTTTCCGTTCCCGTTCCCGTTAAAGTCGGCAACGCAGTAAAGTTCGGCGCATGTGGTCGGTGGTTCCGGTTCCATGTATCCGCACGCACAGACATCCTGAGCTCGATAGCCGCCGTCCAGACGCTGACCCAGCTGGACCCGTTCACCCTCCGTTTGGGTGTAGCTGTCCTGGCGTGTGCGCTGCTGGCACTGGTAGATCTCGACCTCACGCTCCTCCCGCACCCGCTCCCGTTCCCGTTCCCGCTCCCTCTCTCGCTCGCGCTCGCGCTCCTTGCGTTGCTGTCGGCGCCATTCGCGCTCGCGATCTCCCATGTAGATCAGCTCTAATGTTGTCACCGGTATGCCCAGTCGATCGTAGTGCATACGCTGGCGGAACAGCTCCACAAATCCAATGGTATAATCGCCACTCTCCTCTTCCAAATCCTGCTGCAAATCCGGCTGCCAGTCCGCAGGCTCCCTGACCTGATGGTTATACCTAAAGAGCACTTGGCTGGCGCCAGCTGCCAAGCGTCTGCCCGAATTGGCCGCTTCCCCCGGCAAATGCCACTCGATGTCGCGCACCAGCCGATGATACTCGCCGGCCAAGTCCTCAAGTATGCGATGGCGTGCGTTGCTGGCTAGAAAAGTGTCTCTCTCTATATAGTTTTATAGTTACTCTTGGCTGGCATCTTGGCTCAGCTGCGTTACTTACGAAAAGGCTTTGGCTGCACCGGCAGCACCTGGCTATTGGCCTTTTGATTGGAGGGCACTACGGCCAAATCCTCAGGCGAGTCAAGTTGTTGCGATTGCGTATCTGTCTTGTGTTCCTGATTGTTTGTGTTTGTATACCCATTCCACGCTGCTGTTGCTTCGTGTACAAAATTTTTTTGTTTCGAGTAGTAAAACTTTTTTTCCATATCTTACTTAACTATTTGATTTTATTGAACCAACCTGGTAGCATATGAAATACAATTTTCTGACTCAAGTTTCAGCGATTGCCTTGCCGGCCACATTATTTTTCATAAATATTCTATTACAACAATAATATTAGTGATAATAGGAATATTTATTAGCATTACTATAATAATAATGCAAGCTAACATTGTTATAACTAATTCGTTTGTTATGATCTTCGATATACGAAATAAAGATTGCTATCAAAGCAAAACAAACTTATCGACTAAAGCTGACGAGCTAAATTATAATTATAAATAGGTCGAAGCCCTTACCTACCGAATCGCACGTTAGGGTTTATAGCTAGGTAATAAGACCTATTGCTGACATTTCTAATTGGCATATATGGCGCTTATCAGCGCGTTTTTTACACCGGGCACACACCTGGCTTAACTAATGGGGTATTCATGGGCCCGGTGACGCCGGCATTTCTTTGGGTAGCTTTGGTAGCGATCTGTCGATGAGTGTTTCTTTCTGTATTGGCAGCTGCTTGCGATAAGTGTAAATCGCTATAAAATTATTTGCCATTCGACTGCGCGGTCGTTAGTTGTCGAATTCTCAAGTGAACACCTGTTTAGCCCGCTCATGATAAGCGACAGTTGCCGGAGTCTTGAAAATTATTAAAACACTTGCATACCATAAAAAATATAAAGCGCCCAGACGCAACATGGCAAGGTAACAAAAGCCGTATCGAGAAACCAAGTGAATCACATACAAAAACCTCTAACGGGCCATTTTATGTATTATCTTCTTCTATTGCTACCAAGGAAAATAAAAAATATCGCTTTACTGATTGACTGTCTGACCGACTGACTGACTGACTTACTTACTGAGCGACTGACTTCTGGGGCAGGGTTTTGAAAAATGCCATCTTAGAAAAGATACATGTGAACTCCTCCAAAAATATTAGTGTATATAGTCGTATATATAAAAACCCATTTTTAATTATCACCCTCCTACGCGATTCTCATGAAATCAAGTAGGACTTATCATCATATTATAATACATCACAATTTAAACATTATTATATTATTAAATAAATTGAGTAGCAAATCTCTTCTTTACCTCTAACTCTATTTTAATCTCTGATACTCCATATGTCTCTAAATGTCTCTCTATTGTACTCTCTCTCTCTCACTCTCTTTCTCTTATACTCTATCTCTATCTCTTTCTCACACTCCATGTATCTCTCTCTCTCTCTCTTCTCATACTCTATTTATCTCTCTCTCTCTCTCTCTCTCGTTATCTCTCTCTCTTTCTTTCTCTCTATCTCTCTCTCTCTCTCTCTCCCTCTTCTGTCTTCTCTCTTTCACTCTCTCTATTTCTCTCCCTCTCTATCTATAATAGTTATATTATTCTGCTTTTCAAATTACTATTAATATTCTTCTCTACTAGGGTATTTCATCTTCGCCATGGTGAAGATAATTGGGTAGATAGTTAATATTTTTATTATTAATATAAAAAGAACATGATCTTCAAATGATCAATTATAGATTATATTTTTTTTGTGACTAGTATTTATTTATGTTTAACAAAATATTTATGTACTGAGGAAAGCTTGAGCCAGACCATTTTGCCCAGTACAAGTGGCAACATAGGCTTAAAAGTTTATGGTTATATATGTACATATATTTTTAAGTTATTAGGCCCTATCTAGTTTTTAGGGATTAATAGTTTTTGTTGCTTCTCGAATAGAAAAGACCAACAATGGGACTTTAATCGATTTCCGAATCGTCTAAAACGGGCGGCTTATCTGCCTCCGGCCCAGATAAGCCGCAGCTGGGCTGTTAATGGAGCTCAGAGCTGGTTAATCGCCGAATCAGCACCGAAATCTAATCAATGCCCACCAGAGAGCACTTCATATCGATACTGCTACCCACATAGCTAGCTGGTTTTTAATTTCAATTGATTAATCAGTTGTTAGACAGTTAACGAGCTGGTCGGTTGTTGCGCTTAAAGTGCCTGCTGGTCAACTGTGCTGCAAATAAAATTATTTTTTTTAGTTTTATTTGATTTGTTATTTTTTTTTCGTTTATTTATTTTTATTTTTGTGGCCTGAAATGGCAGTGAAATTGCAACTGGTCGCGCTGCTATTGGCAACGGCTGTGCAGCTGGGCGCGAGGGCCGATTGCATTTGGTATGGACAGAGCCATATGATTGGTGAACATGCACAGAATTTGGCATACTCCGGCCCGCCCCTGGCCGTAGACAATGCGGAGTCGGAGGTCATCTTTGCCAGACGCTGTCCCACCCTGTATGCGGAATACAAGGGCGAGAATGGGGACGAGGAGCTAAAGCTTTGCTGCGATGCAAAACAGATTGTAACCATGGACGGAGGATTGACGCAGGCCGATGGTGTATATTCAAGGTGTCCCACCTGTACGTTAAACATGGCACTGACCGTTTGCTCCATGACCTGTGCCCAAAATCATTCGCTCTTCTTGACCGCCTACCTGGCAGAGAATCCAGATGGCCTGGACTTTGTGGAGCACATTGATTATCGCGTCCAAGATGAGAGCGCCATGAAGATCTACAACAGCTGTGCCAGCATACAGCATCCGCAAACGGGACGACCCGCCATGGATCTGGGCTGTGGTGCCTACAATGCCAAGACCTGTAATTATCGCAGATGGTATAACTTCATGGGCGATGCGGAGAACAGCGACTATGTGCCGTTCGTTATCAATTACATGTGGTCGGAGGATGCGCCTGAAGGCTCCGAAGATTACTATCTGGAGGTGCATCCGCTCGACTGCGGACAGAGCTATGCTGGCAACTATGCCTGCGCGTGCATCGATTGCGAGGAGTCCTGCCCATTGACTGAGGCGCCAACTGGGCTCGTGGATCCATGGCAGGTGGCCGGACTGTATGGCATTACATTTATAGTTGCCTTGGTGCTGGGCCTGCTGATAACAGGCTTCATTTGCTGGGGTGCCACCGGGGATCGTCGAGGAGCCAACGTTTGTATGCCAACCTTATATGGCGATTTTCTGTATCGCGGCTGTCGCAGCTGGGGCACCTTCTGTGCCAAGCATCCGGTCCTGGTGCTGGCCCTGTGCTCCTGGGCCATTGGTGGGCTCGGCTATGGTATAGTCTACATGAACGTAACCACCGATCCTGTCGAGCTCTGGGCCAGCGAGCAAAGTCAGACGCGCATCGAGAAAGACTATTTCGATCAGCATTTCGGACCCTTCTATCGCACCAATCAGCTCTTTGTGAAGCCGGTGAACAAAAATACGGTAAATATTCTCTCATGTCCAACAAAGTATTCACTCATCCTCCCTCTCTCTCTCTCTCTCTCTCTCTGTCGCTATTGGACTGTTTGTCTCTCATCGCAGTTTACGCACGAAACAATCAACGGAGTTCTCACCTTTGGTCCAGCCTTTGAGCAGAGTTTCCTGCAGGAGGTATTCGAGCTGCAGGAACAGATTATGCAGCTGGGCATGTCGGAGGGCGCCGGATTGGACAAGATATGCTATGCGCCAGTTCTCTATCCCGGCCTAACACCCACCGTCGACGACTGTGTCATACAGTCCGTCTACGGATACTTTCAGCACGACATGTCCAAATTCCAAAGCTCCTATGAGGACAGCAACAACTATACTATAAACTATCTGAATCAATTGGAGGATTGCTTGCGGTAAGTCTAAACAAGATACATGAAAAATCGCAGGCCTAAGAGCTAGTCAGGATAAGAAAGAAGAACAGCTTAAAGGAATTCCAATAGAGCCATCCTCCCTCTCTGAGCATAGAGCGCCATATACTTATATAGAAAAAACTTTTCGGTTTTTCAAGACATCTTCACCACACTTGGCATTTATTAGTTCCACTTTACTTCTTATCTGATCAATAGAGAGCTACCATACCATAAAGCTCTATAGGAGAAATCGAGCAAAAAAGTGAGTTTTGCATGAAAAACCTTTTTGGTTCTTCAAGATAACAGAAACAATGTCAGCAATAACGAGCTTCGGCTATGTTATTAACACATCACCTACTATTGTTAGACACTTATTAGTTTTCTATCTTTTTCTTTATTTCTTAATTTAATAAAATATCATCAGAGTACATTCGCACACACCCGTCTCGATCCCACTCTGTTCAAAGAGTGTCTGCCCTTTGCTCAACACTGACAAGCTAGTGTTGCGTAGCAGCTGATTTGATATATAAAAAGCATTAAACAATACTGAATGTTTTAGTCTGTTACATGTTATATATAAAGCTCCTAGTGTGGGAAGAATCGATAGGGTATTAGGCTCTTCTAAGCTATGTTTCTGCAAGTATATTTAATCTATGGCTTGCCAAATATGGCTGTTTTTCCTTGGTAAACAATGAAATAATTTTTCTTAAATTTCATTTTTAATCGATTGTTCCCGAGAAAGTCAAACAAAGCTTTATCAACTCAGTTTGCAATTCCAATCAGCGGGTTTTCCCCAGCCTTGCCCGTGGCAAGTTTTGTGCTTCGAAAAACCTGTTGATAAAACTTAATCACCCATTTCCCGCCCGTGGAAAGTTTTAATCTACCCGTACTATCTCGAAAACTTCTAAAGTTTGAGGTCGAACGGACAGAATTTAAAACATTGGGGCGTATTTCCCGAAACAGTGTGAAACATGTATCAGATGAATTTTTACAAAGATCTTTGAAAATGGCATTAAGGCCTTTCGCACGAAACTTATATCTTCACTCAAAAAATCTTTGATCCGCATTTTCCATCGAGGAAGATAGGATTCTGTGAAAAGTGTGAAATGAATTTTCATAAGCATCCTTGGCAATTAATTTGAGGCCAAAACGTCACCCACTCAATCTTTGAGCCGCATTCCCACCAAATAGGGATAGATTTTCCGAAATTAGTGACACAGCCGTCAAATGAACTTGATCGAAGTTCTTTGAAAATGACTTTCAACCTGATCGGATGGTCAACAAACACGTTAAATGCAAACGATTTTCGCAATTTTGGCACACTTGCGAGTGGAATTTCTTGTGGTAATCAGGTAACCACAGGAATA